CTTTGCAGATGGTGTCAGGGAAAGGAACCATTGACAGAGTAGTGCGAACATACATCCGCAGCGTTTCTCGCAGACGCTGCAGGGCAAAGGAACCATTAATAGAGTAGAACGAACCTACCCCTGCACTACTTATCACAGAATCTGTCGGGCAAAGGAACCATTGACAGCCTTTGCAATGTCTGATGGTTCGGCAACATGCTGTTCGACTGGTGGGTTGAAATGGATGCCAGATGGCCGCTGCTGCGCCCGAGGCCATGACCCCAGTCGCTGCCCACAGATGTGACGCTAGAGCGGACCGCCACCGAGCCCTTGACGTACACTACCGGATCTCTAGGGCAGCAGCCGTCGGTCGGAGCGGAACCGGCACCGAGCCCGTGACGCACACTACCGGATCTCTAGGGGGGCAGCCGTCGGCCGGAGCGGACCGCCACCGGGCCCGCGGCTTATACCAGCGGGTCTCCAGCAGGGGGGGGGGGGGGGGCAGCAGAGCCCTGACACCAACTTTGACCTCGGCTATCACGAGGGCGCTTGGTTCGGCACCAGGCGCCGCAGAATGGCATCGGTTGCCGCATTCAATTGTATATCAATTCAGAAAGGCGGAGCTGCCTTCAAAGGCGCGATCAGTCTGGTGCTCACTAATGAAAAGCCGGGTCAAAGGGCACCACTGCAATCTAACAATAATTGTCATGCAAACGGCGGAATTGCGGGACATTGCGCGGCCAAAGTACACTTGGCGCCGACAATGTGCAGCGCGCTGGGCGGGGACCGCGGCCGACAAAGGCAGCCGGACGCCTGGCGGCCCGTCAGAGGTGCGCCGCGGCCCGCTGCACGGCCGCCGAGCTGAGCCAGCGCCAGCGCCAGCTCCGAGCAGGCAGCGGTCTACCTAAGCTCCAGCACCAGCATCAGATCCGGGCAGACGGCTGTCAAGCTGAGCACCAGCACCAGCACCAGCACCAGCACCAGCACTAGCTTCGGGTAGACGGCCGCCGGGATGAGCGTCAGCGCCAGCACCATCACCAGTTCCGAGCAGACGGCCGCCGAGCTGAGCGCCAACACCATCACCATCTCCGAGCGGACGGCCGTCGAGCTGAGCGTCAGCGCCAGCACCAGCTTCGAGCAGACGGCAGCCGAGCTGAGCGTCAGCGCCAGCACCAGCTCCGGGCAGACGGAGGCCGAGATGAGCGCCAACACCATCACCAGCTCCGAGCAGACGGCCGCCGACCTGTCCCGAACGCGGTCCGCCATAATTGAAACTGATTTAAGCCGCACGACTGGGCGGCCCGGCGTGGTTTATTAAGACGGCGCGGTTGTTTGTGGCCGGTTGAATAGCTTGTGATGGCCTGCCGCGGCACGGGCGCCGGCGCCGGCCAGTCCGCCGCTCTCTGCCCCCCCCCCCCCCCCTCCCCCGCCGCTTGCGTTTGGTTTCCGCACATGTGCTTCGGTGCGCCACAGCTGACGCGTTCATCAGCGGACGAGTGCGCTCGTGTTGGTGGAGATTGTAGGGTGATTAGCGTTTTTTCGTTATTGTTACGAACGATAGTAAACGCTCGTTAACTGTTAAAGGACTATATTCCTAACGGAAGAAGTGTGTTTACTGGCCATCAGAGTGGCGCCGCTTGTCTCGGTTGTCTGGACTTCCGACAGGGGAGGCCAGGGACGGCCTCCTCTCGCCACTCGCCCGCTTGTCTCGGCTGTCTGGACTTCCGACAGGGAGGCCAGGAGCGGCCTCCCTCGCCGCCCGCCCGCTTGTCTCGGCTAGCTCGCCTGCCGACAGGGAGGACAGGAGTGGCCTCCCCCGCCGCCCGCCCGCTTGTCTCGGCTGTCTCGCCTGCCGACAGGGAGACCAGGAGCGGCCTCCCTCGCCGCCCGCCCGCTTGTCTCGGCTAGCTCGCCTGCCGACAGGGAGGCCAGGAGCGGCCTCCCTCGCCGCCCGCTCTCGTGCCGTACAGTCGCAGCGCGTCACGGGCGGGCGTGGCAGGCGCGGATCGGCCAACTGACGCGGAAACAATGCCGTGATCAGGGGGCGGCCGGCAACAATGCGGCGCCGAGAGCGCGCCGCCGCGATATGGAGCAGCATTGTTTTGGCCCCTGCGCCTAAATGGTGTGTGACGCGGCAGTATTAGCGTGCCGGTGTCGGGCACGCCGAGCACTGCCCGGCAGCACGCGGCGGGGCGGCGGCTCCGGCGGCCAGCGGTCCTGCCTGACACGGACGCAGGCATGGCACGCTGCCCACAGGCGCAAAAGTCGCTTCATCACCACCAACAACACCGCAACTGTGCCTGCAAAATTGCATGAGATGCATTTCCTAGAATTATGCGGGGCTTCAGGTATGGCCGCGATCAAGTTCCGAAGCCAAATCGCGAGTTTATCGCATCATGAGACCCCAATGTCACCGGCCATGGACAGGGAGTAGTCCAATGCGCACAACCCACAAACATTGGGAGCACCCATCCCAAATCGTGCCGGTAGTACAACCACTACTCGTCTTACCCGAGGGTTTGCCGTCAGCCAGTATGCATCTCACTCACGCGGCTGCCGTCAGCCAGTGCTCATCTCACGCACGTGGCTGCCGTCAGCCAGTATGCATCTCACCACGTGGCTGCCGTCAGCACAGTGCTCATCTCACGCACCGTGGCTGCCGCAGCCAGTATGCATCTCACCACTTGGCTGCCGTCAGCCAGTGCTCATCTCAAGCACGTGGCTGGCCGTCAGCCAGTACTGCAACCTCACCCACGCGGATGCCGTCAGCCAGTATGCATCTCACTCACGCGGCTTGCCATCAGCCAGTACACATCTCACTCACGCGGCTGCCCGTCAGCCAGTATGCACCTCACCCACGCGGCTGCCGTCAGTCAGTACACATCTCACTCACGCGGCTGCCGTCAACCAGTGTTCATTCACGCACGCAGCCGCCGTCAGCCAGTGCTCATCTCACGCACGTGGCTGCCGTCAGCCAGTGCCCATCTCACGCAAGTGGCTGCCGTCAGCCAGCACACATCTAACACCGTGCTCGCGTCAGGCCACACATGCCTCGGCCAGCATACAGTGAACGAATTTAATCCTTTTGTCCCCTACAGACTGTATCCGACATCCAATGCAACATTGTGACTGAACTGACGCTGAAGAATGAAGCATTGGATCGCATGGACTGTGAAACACGCCCCGAGACCGCCCAGCTTCCCGTCCAGCTGATTGGATGTGAGCTTGCTGTGTGGCATGTCTATGGCGAAACACAGCCAGTTTGGGCGAAGTATGCGGGAGGGCTACCGAACTTGCTGGCATCTAATGCCTTAAAGCTATGCTGTCAGCGCTCCATAAAAAATATTTTGCGGTTGGACCCGCTTGTAAACGCAAGTGTCATTGCACGATCTCGCGTGAATGCAATGTTTCTGGGCTGCCGGTAGCAGAAATGAGACCCTTCATTGCGAGGAGCACAGCTTACAATGGCTGGCAAACTGGCTGATCTGACGGTCAGCCAGGTCAGCTCGACGGACACCGCTCCCCGCGGACAGCCAGGTCAGCTCGACGGGCGCTACTCCCCGCAGCCTGTCAGGCCAGCCCGGCGGGCACCACTCTCAGCGGTCAACCAGGTCAGCCCAGCGGGCACCGCTCCGGGCGGCCAGAAAGTTCAACTCGGCGGGCACCGCTCCGGGCGGCCAGAAAGTTCAACTCGGCGGGCACCACTCCAAGCGGCCAGAAAGTTCAACTCGGCGGGCACTGCTCCGGGCGGCCAGAAAGCTCAACTCGGCGGGCACCGCTCCGGGCGGCCAGAAAGTTCAGCTCGGCGGGCACCACTCCAAGCGGCAAGGAAGTTCAACTCGGCGGGCACCGCTCCGGGCGGCCAGAAAGGTCAGCTCGGCGGGCACCACTCCAAGCGGCCAGAAAGGTTAGCTCGGCGGGCACCGCTCCGGGCGGCCAGACAGGTCGTGAACCATGCACCAATAAAATTGAATTAACCATTGGTCACTTTACGATTCGCTAGTCGTTTAGCGTGGCAGTAATGATTGCTTTTGTGGTCGGCTGCATGGCCAGAGACCGTAAACGGTCCCCTAGCCGTTCCGCCGCGGTATTTCAGGTGCCACCGGGCGTCAGCGACAAGGCGCTAGGCCACGCCACCTGACACCAGGCCATGCCACCGGATGCCAGGCTACACCACCGGGCACCAAGCCACACCGCCCGGCTCTAGGCTACACCACCGGGCACCAGGCCACACCACCGGGCGTCAGGCCACATCATCGGGCGTCTGACCACACCAACGAGCGCCAGACCACACCGCTGGGCGTCAGGCCACACCACCGGACGTCAGACCACACCAACGGGCGTCTGACCACACCATCGGGCGTCTGACCACACCACCGGGCGTGAGGCCACACCACCGGTCGTCAGCGGCCAGGCGCCAGGGGACCCTGCGCTCTGGCGCCTGGCGCACACCTGTGTCCGCTCTCACGGGCGAACGGTGAACGCCAACCGTCAAACACGCCCCAGAGCGCTGTATGTACGGCATGCACGCCATAGACTACAGCAGACTTTCTCCGGGTCTGCAAAGCTATGAGATCCTGCTGGAAGAAACTTTACAGGCGTCCACGCCGCTGAGGGAAACCCATGGTCTGCGGGCGGGCGCTGATCTGGGTACAGACAAATGAGCGGCGTCGCTTATCTGGGTAGAGATGCTCTCTTGCCATTCAACTTATTTATGAGTTGATAAATCTCGAATAAATTGTTAGCGGCGGTCAGGAATGCGGCAAGAGATTAGTCCTTAAGGCTGAAGACTTCCTTTAAACGCTCCCTTGTCTCGAGATGCGGAAATAGCTTTAATAGCCTAATAGCATAATGAACATTTTATGTAATTCCTGATGTCACATTGCTGAATCATGAGCTGCTGGCAGCGCCAGAAGCCGGCCGAACTGGCTGCAATTACGTGTGCCGCTGCTGCACGGCTCGCCATGTCCACCGCCTGACAGAGGGCAACACTGAGAACGGTGGTGCACTGGGCTACGTACCCGGCTGCAGCCAGATGGTAGTCCTGCGGTGTACCGTGGCCATACCTGCCGACAGGGGGTGACGGTTACAAAAGCTCGCGGGCCACAGGCCAGGCAGGGGCCGGCGTGGCGACCAGCGGGACCAGGTGAGGTCCACACGTCCACACAGGGGCTGTATCGAGGCTACTGAGGTCAATGCGTCGGTCGAACCCTACCAAGCACGCACTAAGCGAGGGCGGCTACACATTCGCTCCAGGCTTCCAGGCGAGCGGCTGGTGCGTGGGCGCCAGGACTGTCGGCACGGTCAGCCGTCATCCCGCCGCACCGTGTCCAATCAGCACGCGACAGCAGCGCCGAGACGGCGTTCGGCCTGTCACAGAGCATCAGCCACTCAACAGGCGTGGAAAATAAACGCGCCCGGATGATGCACGGTGCGCTGGCGGGTCATGCTCGGCGGCGATAAGGAGGCGCGTGGCGCCGGCCTGAGCGGTCTCGGCGGCGGGTGTGGGCAGGGGCCAGCGGTCTCGGCGGTGGGTGCGGGGCAGGGGCCAGCGGTCTCGGCGGCGAGTGCGGGCAGGGGCCGCGCCCGGCACCACCTGGCCAGGCCAGCGGCTCAGCCGGCAGAGCGTGGCGCCGCACACTGCAGGCAGCCGCTCGGCGATGAATCTCACCGGAGATAAATACGCCGGCCGAGGCACCAGTACCATACAGATGAACTGCCGCCGTCAGAGTTACGATAGGACGAAACACAAGATAAGGGTCGGCCGTGCTTAGCAGCTGTGCACGTTAGAGGAGTTTAGATAATTCATTTATCAATATTCTGCTTTCAAAACATGCCTCGCGTGAGTGGCCTTATAAGTCGTCCCTGCCCCGGCAACAGTGATTACTGTTGACATTAATGGCATCACTAATCGCGTGTATGCCAACGGGAGCGGGCCCTTTTATAGCAGAACGAATCACTATCACTGAAAACCGAGCCTGTTTTACGGCCAAACTTGCAATGAATTCTTCTATAATTGGATGCAGAAGTCTGCGGAGACATACAACGGGTACCGTAACCGAAATATATCTCCAGAGTGATTCAGCGCGGGGCGCTGGAGCCGCCATTTGCAAGCTTGCCACATCGTAAAATATGAAATATAAATAATGATTTTCCGCACTATATGTGCATTGCGCACGGTTTGCTGAAAATACTGATCCTATTATTAGCTGAGATCTTTCGGGCCGACACAGTCATGGCCAGACCGGTCTAATTAAGTGGGATTTAACACCGATTTTATGAAGACATAAGTTCCCAATTTTATTATCCCCTGCACTTGGGTTACACAGCAAATAGCACTAACGCTCTAGGCTCATAGTCGCTGTTTCATTAAGTATCTCTTTCTTGCTAATTGCGGCGGACCTCACTCATGCAATACCAATAGTGATTTTCACCATCATTTCACTCGGTGCAAGCACGTCAATCACCGCTGGCGGGGCTCTTTTCATCTCGTGCACCGCCTGTCCGGTGTAGCTGTAAGAGGCGATAGCCGACGGGCGGTCTGTGGCGACCTGCATGCAGACCATAGGGCTGACTGGGACTGGGACACAGACGCAGACGGTGTGACTGGCGGGACAGACTGGATGCGAGACGCCTGACGACTCAGGCCGGCCAGCGTGGTGCTCCGCTGGCCAGCCGCGTGCTACTGATCCCGCCTGACATGACCACTCTGCTCTGCTACAAGGCTGTCCTGTCAATCTGATCCACCGGAGCGATGGCTGGCGCTCTGCTCCCCGGTACAGTCAGGAACAGTACGCGGCGGAGCGCCAGCCGATCTACGCCATCTGGTCCACGGGAGCCATGGCCAGCGCTCCGGTCCGGTACAGTCGGGAACAGTACGCAGCGGAGCGCCAGCCGATCTACGCCATCTGATCCACGGAGCGATGGCCAGCCACTCCGGTCCAGTACAGTCGGGAACAGTACGCGGCAGAGCGCCAGTCGATCTACGCCATCTGATCCACGGGAGCGATGGCTGGCGCTTTGCTTCGGTACAGTCGGAATATGCGGCAGAGCGCCAGCCAATCTACGCCACTCCTCTCTGAACCTTCCGTCTCATCTAAATGACCACCTCACGGGTCGCATGAGCAGAGCCTCTTTGCCCCCTCTGAGAGATCTCTCACGCATGCATCGGGAGAAACTGCAAATATTTTGACCGGTTCTCCAACGTGAATCAGCGCCGACCGGCCCGGCAGCTTCTGCGGCAGCCGCTCTCTTCCGACGTCGGCCAGCACGTGCCCGCGCGATGTGGCAAGTCAAACCAGTCGGCGAGCCTGTCGCCACAACAGCGGCGGACGCGGCTCGCCCGTACAGGGCGCGTCTGAGCCGGCCGGCATGTAATCCCGGCGTCATGCCGTGCAGCCCGCGCCGCTCGTAAAGATGGCCTCGCCAGTGGTTTTTCTGCCGATGCATATCACATCGGCGCGTGCCATCGGAGCCGGTCACTACGCGGCGACCGGGTGGCGGCCGCAGCTCCAGCCGGCATCCTCGGCCGCTGCCGGTGCACTACGCGGCGACGGTGGCGGCCACGGCTCCAGCCGCATCCTCGGCCCGCTGCCGGTGCACTACGCGGCGACGGTGGCGGCCACGGCTCCAGCCGGCATCCTCGGCCGCTGCGGGGGCTGCGCAGGCCGGGCAGGCCATTGCCAGGACGGCGAGTGGACGTGGCAGAATGGAGGGACCCCAGCAAGGCTGTAGTTTTCTTTTCAGCTGGGAGAGGGTCTCCACCCTCCCTTCCTCGCTGGCTTTAGGAAGGAAGTGGGCAAAATCCCGGGAGAGCCCCATTTGTTGACCAGTTTGGGGGGTAGATGGCACCATTTTTCATTGCTCAGCTTCTAACTCACTTGGCGAAATGGCGTCCTTGCGGTGGAGGGTGTAGTGCAGTGTGCTAACTTGTAGAAATGGTCAGATTCTGTTAATCTAAGCGTAGTAAAGCTGAATTTTCCTCACAGGGCTTTCGTTGTTCAAAGGCGTCCGCCTCTAGAAGCGCGAGCGATTGGATTCATGTGCAGGGTATCAAGAGAGAATGGCACAGACAGACCTATCAAGTTCTTCGGCTACGGCAATAACGAGAATTATCCGAATGGACCCGGTCAATAATATGCATGCTGCCACTTGTCTGCCAGTCTGACATCCCTGCTGGCTGGCCTGACTGGCCGCCGTCCCGTCCACCGACCCCGGCCGCCACTGCCGCCGCCACTGACCAGGGCCCGTCTGGCCAGTGCTGCACCGCGCTCGCCTGCCTCGTTCAGACGGGGACCGATGAGGCAGGGAGCGGCGCCGGTACCCGTCACCTGTCAGGCAGCCGTCCCCGCACCATCCGACACCAGCCGACCGACGCGAAAGGTGTGAAACAGCCCCCAGGAGCAGCCAAACGCCGTCAGCCAGGTCGCCTGCTGGGCGCTGGCGGATTTTCAATGACATGCTGCAAAGGTCCATAGAGACGAACGGGCCTTTACGTTTGGTGCGGAGCTGAAGGATCGAGAATGCTTTTTGCACGAACACAAGATTGCAGAGGAAAAAGCGTAGGAAACGGGACAGAGAAACGACGGCAGAAAGGAAGTCAATTATGAACAAGTTACGAAATATTTCATATGCTGGATGCCTTGAGAAACGATCCGTGAAAGACCTTGATTCTTTACGCGCCAGTTGAAGCGAACAATATGCCGAGTTCTTCACATTTCCAAAATCCCGTATCGCATTTGGTCTTTCAGTTTGATTGCCTCGTAAATTATGTGCCGCGGCTCATTCGTTGTCTTCGGACGACATCATAACATCTTGTTCCCAGCGCTGCATGTCCTGATTGCAGGCGATTGTATCGGCAGAATTCACCGACCGTCAATTCAACCAGCTGTAATTAATCTCTAGCCTCACCTTTAAGCCTCCTAACGCCGGCAAGCCAAGTTCCCAGGCCGCTTCTAGATATATCCCCTTGTGTACTGAGGCATCTTCCACACTCGCTATGTTTTGGGGCGGATTTTTTAGGACATTCAAAACTTATTCGATGGGTCACTCACATGCAAAGGCACTCAGGGCGTATGCATCGGAAACCCAGCGATTAGGACTCTCAGAACACAAACCGTCGACATTCAGAGGCGGTAAGAGTCATTCAGGGGCGGTGAGATGTTAACAAGGGTAGAAAGGAGGTGGCGAAGTCGGTGGGGCAGAAAACAAATGTGGGCCAGCGTGGGTTTTCGAAGCAGTAGCAGCGGGTCCGGACATGATTACGTCAACATTGAGACAGGCCGGAAGTGCCTGCAGCGCTGGTGGGCACTGCTGGCTGTCGGGGTGCATATTTTTCGGACTTGGAAGGTGAAAAGCGAAGGTAACGTTGGCAGGGCCGTGAGGTGGGGATATTGCTAGTTGCATAGTTCATGAGATGTAGAGTCCCGGAGACGGACAGAATATAAATGGTCTGTCCTAGGAAGCAGTGGGTTTGGAACGGAAAGGAATAAAAGTGGAAAAAAAAGACAAAAGGTTGCGAAATAAAACACAAGAGATCAGTAGATTTAGGAAGCGGAGGGCGGTCATAGAACAGCAAGGCGCACGAGGCGGAAGAGCTAGATGAGGCAAGAGAGGAAAAAGGAAATAATAGAGGGAAGCGACGGGAGAAGGTACGCTTGGGCAAGAGTAGAACCGGCGGAAACAAGAGGAGGCAGAAGACAGAATGGAATGGAAAGACATGAGAGGCGAAGAAAACGGAGGGAGGCAAAGTAGATGCCGAGGGGAATGAAAACCTGGTACCAGAGGAAGGCGTGAGGTGGGAGATGCCAGAGCGAGAGATGCCAGAGCGAGAGATGCCAGAGCGAGAGACGATTGTTGAGCAGAACAACCCGGGATGGAGTAGAAGTTTGGAAATTGATGAAGCTGTGAGGTTGAAGAGAGAGAGAGAGAGAGAGAGAGAGGAGAGAGAGAGAAGAAGGAGAGAGAGAGGAGGGGGGGGGGGGAGAGAGAGAGAGAGAGAGAGAGAGAGAGAGAGAGAGGGGAGGGAAGAGAGGGGGTGAGAAGACATGGAGGGTACAAGGGATGG